CTCTTCAGCTCAAGGCTAGCACTCTACCACTTGAGCTACAGCGCCACTTCTGGCTTTTTTTCTTTTTGCTTGTGTGGTGCTGGGGAATTGAACCTAGGGCCTCATGCATGCAAGGCAAGCGCTCTATCACTGAGCCACCTTCCCAGCCCTGCTTTTCAGTTTTTGATTCTTAGTGACACTTCATCAATAAAAGGTCAGATATATTTTCAAAAAACGGGAAGGAATTGTCTAGAAGTATTAACTAACTAATATGTCTCACTGCCAGTTTCTTACAGAATTGATCCCAGTGGTCATAAAACACACTTAAAAACAAACAAAACAAAACAAACCAGAATCTGTTTCCAGAAGTTAAACTAGAACTTTTATTGAAAATATAAATCCAAGCCAGAAGATAAATACAAGCAACTCTAACTCTATATTTCACCAGGAGTCATTTTATTCTAGAGGGCAAATTTTTCTCCTTATATCTCTTTTAGTAAATTACAAAATGACCTATTACAGAAACTGTATTTTGCCAACCTATACTGCAAACACCTAATGCTATAAAGAGCAATAGTTGTCTTGGATATACTTTGTAATTCTGAACCTCATCCAGGTAAGACTCTATTAAATACCCTATTCTGAAACTACCAAATCCATTATTCTTAATAATAGCAAATCACAGATGTTATTGAATTCTTAAGCAGAAAAATTACATTTGGGAAGATCAGGAAATAAAGGAAGAAAACAGATAAAATGCACATGAGTTTGGACACAAAGAAGATTTCTCATTTGGTAAACACTTTTTGTTCTCTACACGCTTGAGTTTGTTTGGTCACTTTTAGTGAGAGTGGTTTCCTCTGTAGTTAGAGATGACTCCAGAAGTCTAAAATGCTCGTATAGATTTGGGAGAGACCTGAGCATATTATACATCCTTACACGCAGCCTGAGCGGAGTCATTGAAGGCAGTGGCTTCATTCTCCCAAAGGATGATGACAACGACTTCAATGCTTTTGAAGCTTCATTCTGGAAGACCTTTGTTCTAACGGTGTAAAGGATAAAAATTTGCAGTCCCTGAGGATAGAATAAGCATTCATTGTTGGTGAGACCGTGCATGGTGAGGGAAGACATTTGATTTCACTCTGCCCTCATCCTTTTCATCTTGCATAGTGGTTCCCAGATTTGGCTTTCTACTTGCTAGCTGTGTAACTTAACTCATTTTCTAGAATCTAGACTCTTCCATGTTCTCCTAGGCACTGCTCTTCAGTAGCTCATGTTCTCCCTCACTGCCATCAGCTCTGTTTATCCTATTTGATTTAGTAATCTAACTGCAAATGCGATGCACTTAACCGCAAAACTCTTCACTGCCTTTTTGTACTTTACCTGGGAAGATAGGATGTGTGTGCATGCAAAATTGATTAATCAAAAGCTGAGTAATAGTCATTTTAAATGAAAACGGTCCCTTATTGAAGTCCTATTGTTGTCAGACCCTTGCGCCCCATTAAACCCTTTCATTTACTTCTCTAATTTTCATATCAACTCTATATAATAAACCTTAACATCTCCATGTGACAGATAAGAAAACCAAAGTTCAGATAAATTGGGTAATTTGCTTAAGAAATTATCCAACCAATAAATAAAATTTGGGGGCTGGAAATGTGGCTTAGTGGTAGAATGCTTGCCTAACATGCATGAAGCCCTGGGTTCTATTCCTCAATACCACATAAACAGAAAAAGCCGGAAATGGCACTGTGGCTCAAGTAGTAGAATACTAGCCTTGAGCAAAAGAAGCTCAGAGACAGTGCCCAGGCCCTGAATTCAAGCCCCAGAACTGGCAAAAATATTTGGAATTGAATTCTTAGATTTTTGGCTTTTGAGTCCTCTGCATTATCCAATATATGGTACTACCTCTTGTTTGAAACTGTAATGGAAAAATATCAATAAATGTATTGTAACTTAATAAACTTCTTAGTTTATTAACATCTTTTGTAAAAATAAAGCATCAATTATCATCTATAGCCAAGTTGTTGATATTGTACCAATGTCAATTTCTTGATTTATGACAATACACAGATACATCATATATTATCATTGGAGGACAGCTGGGAAAAGAATACATGAAAACTGCAGTATTCTCCCACCTTCTTGTATTAAATTATTTCTAAGAAAGCATTTTAAAAAATAAATAGCAATCCATACCTCCCATATTGTCATCTATGGTGCCCCAAACCCTATCAGGATTTGTTTTTAGAATAAATGTAGAAATTCCTGGTGCTATGATAATATAATCCTAATACTCTGATATTCCCACTAATAATATAAATATGTATTGCCAAGAAATAGGACTAGTTCTCCAATCATAAACAGGAATAGTAACTTGACTGTTAGCCAACAAGTAACATGTATGTATCCTATCAGAAGAAAAGCTGTGGCTCAAGGAATGTGTTTGGGGATACAGATTTCCTGAGACAGAAGTGATTATTGTCCATCCTGATTGTTCAGGACATCACAGTAAAGAGCTGCTTTGTGTTTCAAATTTGGTGGCAAGTACGTGTTCATTTTCTACGGCAGTCTGAACAGCAATAAAGAAAGCCATCACATCAGTTTACCTGGTCATTTTCAGAAAGTGGTAGCAATTCAGGCAGCCATGCTGCTTCTGTATAGAGAGCTGGTAGGGAGAGCTACGTGATGATGAAGAAATTAAATGAGAGGCCCTTTAAGGCCTTGATTCCCTCTGTCTAATAAAGGAACTGGTAGTCATTCATGGCCATTTAGCAGTTGAAATGTAGTAATAAAACTAAGTTTTTAGGTTTATTTTTGCTAGAACTATAGCTTGAAGTTAGGGCCTTGAGCTCTCTCTTGACTTGCTTGCTCACAGCTGATGCTCTACCATTTGAATCACACCTCTAGTCTGGCTTTTTACTGATTAATTGGCCATGGAGTCCCATAGACTTTTTCAGCCCTGGATGACTTCAGCCTCCCGAGTAGCTAGGATTACAAGTGTAAGACACCACTCTATCTAGAATAACTAAATTCTTCATTTCATTTCATGTTAAAATTTTTAAGTATTAGACTTGATGCTCAGTTCAGTTTTTGAATGCTTATGTATTCAAAGACCAAGCTTATTTTAGGAACTTATTTTTTTATTGTAGATTTTACGCAATCTAACTACCAACCAAGTGTTATTAAAGATGTAGCACCCAAATAGTGGTAGATTCAAAGAAACACACAGTGACTATAAGAAGATGACATATCTCATTAATAATTTCATTCTAAGCCGGGTGTTGGTGGCTCACACCTATAATCCTAGCTACTCAGGAGGCTGAGATCTGAAGATCATGGCTCAAAGCCAGCCTGGGCAGGAAAGTCCATGAGACTCTTATCTCCAATAAACCACTCAGAAAACTGGAAGTGGCACTGTGGCTCACGTGGTAGAGCACTTGCCTTGAGCTGATGAGCGCAGGGACAGCGCCCAAGCCCAGAGTTCAAGCCCCACAACCAACAACAAAAATAATAATAATTTCATTCTAAACACATGTTAGATGATGATTTATGGACCATAATGTTACCTAAAACATGTTACTAAAATTTAAGAAAACAGTCTAAATATGGAACCATAAAAACAAGTCTTAGCAAATTTCCAAAATTTGAAAGAACAAGTTCAATGAACCCACAACATTCAATCCTCCAACAATGAGTAACCTTGTCCATCTCAGACTTAGCAGGGAGCTTCCATGAACTGGTATGGTAAAAACATATATTTCCAAGTCCACTGCTTGATAAAAATGTCTGCTACTGGTAGAAGTTACCAAACCTGTTATAGTTTGATTCTAGGACCTACAGCCCAGAGAGAACATAGTAAGTTATAAAGATGTTTTGTTCTTCTTCCAGTGAAACTTACTAAAAATAGAATCTCCTAATGATAATTAAGCCAATGGCCTTCAGTGAATTTCCAAAGAAAAAAAGGAAGAAAACTTGGTCCAGCAAGATGATGCAGTCTTTACTGCCTTAGGATATACTATATTCAGACTAGATGAAAAACAGCATACCTGAGTAGTGTTGGCAAGGCAGAATATATAGCTGAAGATAATCCTGATGTCATCATTATTTATTAGCATAAGGTATGACAGAATCCAGGTAAGGCCAAAAACAACTGCAATAGACAATGTGCTAAGAATCTTCTTTAGGAAGGAAACCTTTTTTGTGCTAGGTGAAAGCAAACAAGAAAGAGAAATATGTGTCATTCGATTCTTATTTACTAATGTTATTGTTACACTTTTTAGTATGCATATAAAACTGTACACATATCCTGTTCATTTTAAGATATTATACTTCAGACAGAAAAAACAGTGTCATCCCGAAAAAAAATTTGATTTAACAAGCTTTATTTGGAAATATCTTGGTATCTGTTTAAGAGCTCAGGCAAAAGTAGTTTCTTAAATATGACTACAAGTAAATTTCAGTAAGAATTAGCTTTTCTTTTGGAATGGAATTTTGATCACATGGGTAGTTATACAAAATTACTAAGTGATGCATCCCTTTCTTGAGGGGTTATCTGGGAATTTTCGTGTGCCTCTAGCTAATACAAAAGAAGGATTATTTAGGCAAAAGGTGATCATCCCTCTCATAGGAAGTTTATACCTCTGGAATCTGGTTTTGACAATGTGAGTTACTTTGGCTAGTGGAACATAGCAAATGTTATAAACAGACTTATTTGTTCATTAGCACTTTTCTTCTCTCACTGCTGTTTGGAATCCTGAGATGACTATGTGAAGAAGCCTGTGCTGGCCTGTGGAGAAGAAGAAACTATATGGAAGGGAAGTTAGCTCCCTCAACTGAGCATCTACTATCCAAGTCCAACCAGCTCCCAGTGGCCACACAGGAAAATAAGCCATCTAGATCACCTGCCAACATTTGAGAATGCCAAGGTGAAATAAACATCCAATAACACTCAAACTCGTGACAAATAATAAATGCATTCATGGGGCTGGGAAGGTGGCTCAGTGGTAGAGTGCTTGCTTTGCATGCATGAGGCTCTGGGTTTGATTCCTCAGCACCACATAAGCAGAAAAAGCTGGAAGTGGTGCTGTGCTTCATGTGGTAGAGAGCTAGCCTTGAGCTGAAGAGCTGAGGGACAGTGCCCAGGCCCAGAGTTCAGGCCCCACGACTGACAAAAATACATACATACATACATACATACATACATTATAAACCACCAAATTATGGGATGGTATGTTATGTAACTAATTTACACATGGAAGATGATTTGTTAAACATTTGAATTAGACATACATTTCATTGTAACTATGCCAGTTTAAGAACCATGGCTATCAGTAAGTCAAAATTTAAAAATATAAATTTTATTGGTAACTGTGGCCAAAAATGCTAGTGTTCTGTATGAAGGAAATCAAATCTAACTTGAAATTAGGTTAAGAATGTTTCACTGAAGTTTTTCTGGCTACTAAGAGAGAGACCTCAATGTTTACCAGTGACGACATTTCCCCCATATTTTTTTCTTAATAAGGACCATCATTCATCATGAAATATAGTACTTAGAGCACACACTTTGTAAGGATATATGTGATACGTACATTGCACAGTATATATTAATATATTATCATTGATTATGGTGGTTTTCATTCATCTCTTCACACCAAGTAGATCTATTTGTGAGGTTACTATAAGTCACAGATTTTTTATAGTAAGCACACCTGGGATGGGCAGATTGTGGAATTAAATTTGAACTCTCAGCTTCATTGTCACTGTATTCGACTAGTTTATACAGTGGAAATGGGGTCGGGGTCCAGAGCATATACATCTTATGCTTTGTGTTCATTGTTTCTCCAATTGAAAGTGCTTGTTTTATATTAGTGAAAATAATGAGAATGCTATGGTGCAAGGAAGGTTATTGCAAGAAGAGGAGGGGGTCTGGATAGGAAGTGGCAAATGAGAAAGCATAAGCTTTCCTCACCCCAACATGTGAACTCAGTGTGGCCAGCTGTTTCTAGATTTTCAAACAAAAACAATCTAATTTTTTAATTAAAATACCCAAATTTTATATATTTGCATTGAAAAATTTAAAACATGAACCTATTATAAAATCCAAGCAATGTTTATATGATAGAGCTTACTGTGCTGTTTTATAAAAAGAAAATATGTGTCCCAGCATCTCTGGACAATCCTCATTTCTCTAGTTATTCAAATTAGATTTGAATATTTAGGGCTGGGGAGGGAAGTATTTTCCTTGAAGTCTCTGGATTCACACAACATAGAGACATGCTATGTAAGTAATGTAGTAGTCCCACATTGTAGATGAAAAAAGTCCACTTTTTGAACCGTAGCTTCTGATTAAATCTCTCCGGAGTATCACACAGCTCTGCCTATGTTTCAGAATTTGAAAACTCTTATGAGTGTATTGTGGTGCTGTATGGTCCACTGTATTGGTCTTGCCTGGCAGCTTCTACTCATAGAGATTCTTACCTCGTCAGATTCTGGTTATTCTTCCACAGCACTTTGACTGTGATTACAATAAATATACCAATATTGGTGATAAGGATAATGGTTACAGGTATTAGGAATGACCACAAAAATGGATGTGATATAAAACCATTGCTGTTTAAAGTTGCCAACCAGCAACTGTGAAGAAAAGAAATTATATCATGAGAAAGAAAAGTATAAATATTGGTTTCTTACAATATGAATATTATTGGCACCCACCTAACTGAAATACCTGCTTAAAGCCTATATGTCTATACATATTGCACATTTATAATCACTTCCAGGAATTCAACCCACTACAACTAGTATAAAGGTACACACCTGTAATCTTTCTGTAATTCAGAAGGCTGAGGCAGGAGAATTACAAGATTGAAGCCTCAGCTATATAGAGAGACTATGTCAAACATAACAAAACAAATTAGGCATACTAGACTTGGTTCTTCCATATTTATATTTGAGTCAGTATGAGCTAGTGGAAAGAATAAGGCTTCTGAGTCAGGCAATCCTAAATTATTATTACTGTCATATCATTATTGTCATCATCGATATGATTATCATTCTGTTGCTGTGGCTCAAATCCAAAGCATATGGTATTCTAAGAAGGAGCTCTACCACTGATTTTCAGACTTAATAAAGAAAGGCAAATTTAATGTAAAAAGATTAGACTTACAAATTCAGAAAGTGGAGACTGACTGTTCAGGGGTTTTGACATATGAAATTTCCAGCATCTCAATTCAAATACAATATAACCTTTGAGAACTGAAAATATCCACCGCTAAATATGACAACATAAAGTGAAGTATACTTGTACAGTGAGGCTTGAAGTTCACAGACCTTGTGGTTATCATCATTTCTCAAAGAAATGGACATTTTAAATATAAACTCACATTTCCTCTTGTCGATATTCTAACTCCCAGTTGGGATCCTTCGTATGCTGAGCATAAATAATTCCCACTGTTACACCCACTACAATAGCTGGGACTCCTGCTCAACAAAGAGATGTATAGAATTAATCATTTATCCAAGACCAGTATTAATTATAAAAGACCATGAATGAATTATACATCTGACCCTTTTCAGATGTACTGTTCTTTCCACTTTGGATAATGGATGGATCCATAGATGTAGGTCAATACTAGACAGAATTTTTCATTTTTCTTTCTTTTTTGTATTGACTCTCTATACCAATTGTATACTAAATCTCATTTCTTGGTACCTCCTACAACAAGTTCTGTCCTAAAATGAAAGAATTCTCTTTCATGTAAATAAATTTAAATCTGTGCACCACGAAGATGACTTTCCCTTCTTTCTTGGATAAAATCTAATAAAAAAATTCACGAATTCTTTCCTTAAGGAGTCACTCTGGCTTTCTTTAAAAAATATTTATGTTAAAGTATCGAGGAAATTAATTAGTTATGGTCTATATTGCAAATGAACTAATAAAGAGATGTTTTGTTTATGTTATCTTGTAACTTTTTTTAAAAAATTGCTTTTTAATTTTATTGTAAAGGTGATGTACAGTTACAGAAGTCAAGTACTGAGTCTATTTCCTTTCGAACAATGTCACTCCCTCCCTCATTCTCTCTGTTTTTCCCTTCCCAACTTCCCTCCTCCCCCCACCCCCAAGTCGTATACTTCATTTCTAACATAGTGTCCAATAGGTTGCTGAATTGGTTTGCCCTTTGTCCCACCATTTCTGTGCTTTCCATTCCCCTCCTCAAATCAGATAAACTTATATACAAGACAAAGGGTACAGAAGTTAAAAAAAAAAAAAACAGTGGCATAAGGGAATAAACCAAAGAAAAAAAGGAAAGAGAACAGCAAACAGTACAAGATAAAAACCTCTTGCTTCGGGCTGGGAAGGTGGCTCAGTGGTAGAGCGCTTGCCTTGCATGCGTGAGGCCCTGGGTTCGATTCTGCAGCACCACATAAGCAAAAAGAAAAAAGCCGGAAGTGGCACTGTGGCTCAAGTGGTAGAGCGCTAGCCTTGAGCTGAAGAGTTGAGGGACAGCGCCCAGGCCCAGAGTTCAGGCCCCACGACCGGACCCCAAAAAACAAACAAACCTCTTGCTTCCATTTCTTGGAGTTCATTTCGATAAACATCATTTTATATGATTGTACGCACTTAGCTATTGAATATCTTGTAATCCTATCTAACATAACAGTCTTGATCGTATCTGCCCCTTTCACTAGAGTTCAAGGTCCGAGGCAGAAAGAATTATTAGTATTATTACTTCATCTTCTACTCCCCCACCTCCAAGCCTTTTAATAGTAGGCCTGTACTCAGTGTTTGTTTAAATTAAAGGACTACAGCAAAATTCAATTTCTTAACAAATAGAGATGCAAATACTTACCCCATCCGACCAATGAGATGAAAAGAATAAAATGAGAAGGAAGAGGTTTCATGGTCCTGATTAGAAAGAAGTAGAGCTGCACCGCATTCAGTCCGTTCCAGGTAAATGTCACTAACAGGAAATAGTGCAGTAAGGCAGCAAACACCGTACACGAGGGATTGGGGATGTCAGCAGTGTCCGTTTCAGGGATTATGTTAGTAGAGGGAATATTAGTGTTAGTATCATTTGTGTTCAGGTTCTTGTTTTGGGTATTTTCAATTCCAAACACAAAGAGGAGGTTGAAAATCAACATTGACACGCACAGGCTGACCATCACCCAGGTTACTGAGGTTTTTCTGACTTTCCTGAAGAAACGAAAATCAATCATCAGTTTCACAGTGCTAGCTACTCTCCGAGTATGGCTCCTAGCAAGCTCTGATTGCCAGTATTATCCTTTCCCAAACCTGCTTTGTGCCTTCATTTAAATAACAGAATGTACCAGAAAGCTGACATCCATGACTGACTAATCCATCATGCCGAACAATGGTTAAGGAACAGGGTGTTTTCAGGGCCCACAACAACCTAGACATTTTTAATAACTATAAGGGGAAGGAAAGAAAAGAGCTTTTTGGACAAAATTATTAACATGTTTGTCTTAAATCAATGTAGTCACAAGATACAGTTCTTAATCTGGATTTTCTTTTGTAAGGAGGAAGTTTCGTTCCAAGATAAAAGAGCCTAGCACACGTGAAAGTCATAACCCAGCCCTCACTGCACGCTTCTCAGTGGCTGGCACTCCTTGAAGTTGTGAGCATCTAGGGAAAAGCTACTGGGCTGTAGAAACCACATGGAAGTGCTCTGAAGGAATAGTGGTGGGAAAAGATGGCACCATCCTAGCATCCCAACCGAACCTTGATTTTCAGCCCAGTGACCATCTGACTGCAATCGCCAGGAAGACCTCAAAAAGACCAAAGGATGAATACATCTGATTGAGCCTGATAAAGCCACAGAATTTTTAAAAATTGATTTCTTCATATGTGTGTATATCATTTTATTTATTTAGTTAGTTTTGTTTGTGTAGTACTGAAGAATCTATTCCAGAGCCTCATGAGAGGCAAGCATTCTGCCACTAAGCCACATTGCCAGCCCTGATATCTCTAAGTTTTAAGAATTTATGTAGTGTATACAAAAGCATACAGAAGAAGCTCTAAAGACAGTTATCCACCTCGAAATAGAAGCTTTGTCACAGTAATAGATGAACCTACACTTGAATGTAGAGAAAAGTCGCTTAAATTTTTAACAATCTTTTTTTTTTGGCCAGTTGTGGGGCCTGAACTCTGAGCCTGGGCACTGTCCCCCAGCCCTTCAGCTCAAGGCGAACGCTCTACCGCTTGAGCCACAGTGGCACTTCCAGCACTTATGTGGTGCTGAGGAATCGAACACAGGGCCTCACACATGCAAGGCAAGCGCTCTACCACTGAGCCACCTTCCCAGCCCTTAACAAAGAAAAATTTTTGAAGAGTGATGCTGGATATTGAACCCAGAGCTTTGGACACACTAGGCAACTACATGGTACACAATGTACAGAAATTACATTTTTCTTATTCACTAAAAAGTTTTAAATTAAGGCTAATATACACTTAAAATGAGCCACAGCATTATATTGAGTTTTATATTCCATTTAAGAAGTGAGCCCTCCCCCACAAACATTTTAAATGTTTTTTTCATTTGTTTCATAGGTATTCTTCCTAGTGTCATTCATCATAATTTAAGTAAACTAATAGTTAATAGCTTTGGGATATCCTATGCATACATAATTTCAGGTGACCTTTCCACAAGACACATGAGTCCTCTAAGAGCCCTCTTTCAATAACTAATGTTTGAAACTAAGTTCCAGAGATTACTTTGGAGAATTCGTGCTGATTGTTAAGTGGTCAACATATTGTGATCGGTTGTCTTATTGTAAAATATGCCTGAGAACTGTTCCTTGGTTTGAAGCTGTAACTTCTAGGTTGCAGAACCAAACATTCTTCACAAGAACCACTCACACCTAACCCTCATTTCACATTTACCTAATGTCATTGTCATGAGAGACAAGTTTTTTCCTCTGGTTTTGTCAATCAATTGGCTTTGTTTCCTAGTAATTTCCCAAAGGCAGCGTGAGCCTGTGTGTGCTGTGCTGTGTGGTGTGGAGGAGGGAAGCAGTATGTATAGAAGGCTGGCTTGGGGATGTGTGGCATGGTGCTCATATGAGTCCTATGCTGGCCAGGTAAGCATCTTCAGACTTGAAGATAGTTGATTCTCTTCACTATGTAAGTACCATTTTCCTTACTGTTCAAAGGCAGTTACATCCTAATGACACATTATAGTTCTGGGGGTCCTGTGGCTTACAGTCTTAAAGTAATGAAGTTATAAAAATCCCTATTCAGTACTTATCAATATGTATTTATTATATATAGCCCTTTGACTCTTGTGGATGTCCTCTGCAAAATGTGTGTGTGGAACTATTGACTTCCCTTCTAGTTCAGGACTGTGTTCTGCTGAGAACACACATGGAGCACTACACCGGGATAGTGATTTCTCTTGTGAAAAGCACCTCTTTCACCTCTTACCGGGTAACAATCTGAAATATGATAGTCAGAGCCAGACCAGCAATGGAAAGGGCACATCCCAAGGTGGATAAAGTGTCGAGTGACTCCGGATACTGATAATTCCTTTTGAAACTCTGAAAAAGTAGGTTGATGCTTATTTTTAAATAACCACTCCTAAAACATCAATGAAAGTCAACATCATCTACAGTTATGTTGGCCAAATAACATCATATTCTATTGATCTCCATCCTAAATATGATACATCATAGGTACTGTGGAATAAACATGTCTACTTCTCCTTAGAAAATTCATAGTGTTAACATTCCAAGTGTCTTTTCATACCACTGTATATTAAAGCTAACATTTCTTGCTTTTAGTTTCTAGAAATGGAGCATTTCTCCTTAGAAAATTCATAGTGGGGGCTGGGAAGGTGGCTCAATGGTAGAGCACTTGCCTTGCATGCTCGAGGCCCTGGGTTCAATTCCTCAGCACCACATAAGAAAAAAGCCAGAAGTGGCACTGTGTGGCTCAAGTGGTAGAGTGCTAGCCTTGAGCTGAAGAGCTGAGGGACAGCACCCAGGCCCAGAGTTCAGGCCCCATGACTGGACCCCCCCCCAAAAAAAGAAAATTCATAGTGTTAACAGCCCATTACTAGGGAAAAACATTCCAAGTGTCTTTTCATACCATTGCGTATTAAAGCTAACATTTCTTGCTTTTAGTTTCTAGAAAAGGAGCAGTTAGAAGCTTCTTTTCTTTCTTTCTTTTTGGGGGGGGGAGGGAATCCAGTTGTGGGACCTCAACTCTGGGCCTGGGCACTGTCCCTCAGCTCTTCAGCTCAAAGCTAGCACTCCACCCTGGGCCTGGGCACTGTCCCTCAGCTCTTTAGCTCAAAGCTAGCACTCTACCACTTGAGCCATGGTGCCACTTCCAGCTTTTTTTTTTTCTGCTTATGTGGTGCTGAGGAATCGAGCCCAGGGCCTCATGCATGTAAGGCAAGTGCTCTACCACTGGGCCACCTTTCCCGCCCCAGAAACCTCTTTTCTTAAAAGGGCCAATTCTGGGGTTAGGGACTTAGCTCATTGGAAGAATGTTTACCTAGCAAGTCCAAGGCCCTGAGTTCAGTCCTCAGCATCAGACCAAAAAAAGTGAAAGACAGACTAACAACTTTCAGAGATCTAAAGATAGTGTGTACAGTAATTATTCAATTACTTGTAAGGGCACTTTTTTATGGGGCAGCTTTGCAATTAAAAAGTTTTGAGAATACACAGAGCAACTATGAGAAAAAAATTATTTTTTTTGGGTCCGGTCGTGGGGCCTGAACTCTGAGTCTGGGCGCTGTCCCTCAGCTCTTCAGCTCAAGGCTAGCACTCTACCACTTGAGCCTCAGTACCACTTCCGGCTTTTCTTTTCTTTTTGCTTATGCAGCGCTGAGGAATCGAACCCAGGGCCTTGAGCATGCAAGGCAAGCGCTCTACCACTGAGCCACCTTCCCAGCCCGAGAAAATTTTTTTTAAATTTAAAGACCATGCATTTTATATTTTCTTATAATTTGAACAATGCCAATGAAAAAAAGCATTAGTTATGCCAGGTGCCAGTCGTTCACACCTGTAATCCTAACTATTCAGGAGGCTAAGATCTGAGGATCATATATCACAACTGGCCAGGGCAGGAAAGTCCATGAGACTCTTAGCTCCAATTAACCACAGAAAGAAATGGAGTTCTGGCTCAAATGGTAGAGCACTAACTTTGAACAAAAGATCTCAAGGACAGTGGTTCAGGTCCTGAGTTCAAGTCCCAGTACCAGAATACACACACACACACACACACACACACACACACACACACACACACACACACACACACACTCACCTCCAGGTAACTAAACTGTTCGTACATGTTTAAAATATGGGTTGAGACTCACATATTGTGTAGCTTTCCTCTGGCCATAACAACTTCTTAACCTCAGTAACAGTGTAACAGTATTTATCAATTCCTCTTCTACACAGAAGCTTTCTTTCTTCCCATGAGGAAAAAATGAAGTGCTAATTCAATCTATGCTAAATCCATATACAATACCTTCTTTTACCAGCCAGCACTTTTTCAATTCTATTTACACTTGAGTTTTCAGTTTGAGAACCTGTGTAAGCTAAATTTTAAAGTTAATTCCAAATTAGTGCATACTAAATATGAGTATAAGGAAAATTCTTCTCTGAAAAGAGATACGATAAACCTTCTTACCATTAACACAGCAAAATTAGTAGTGTGGTTGCACTGACAGCCCAAGAATCCATCAGTTACATTCCCTTTTTTACAGCCATATGTGTCCCAATTGTTTGTCGACAGATTCCAGTAGACACAGGCATATGAATAAAGTTGGAATACTTTTTTGTTGTACTGTGAATTGATAAGACAATTACAATCACTGATATTTTAATGCTTCATTAGATAGAAAAAATTAACAGAATAAGATAGTCATAAGAGAAACCAGTTAAAATACATATTTAATATTAGTACCCACATTGTAGATTGAGCAAAAAATAATGTAAAATTCAACTTAGCTAATTTTGTAGCTAAGATAGTTTTACAAAAATATGTATGAGGATAGATTTAAAGAATCTTTCTTCAAATAATCTTTCAGAAAGATTTTCTGGAGATTTTATTTACCCAAATTATCTTTGCTTTTATAATTAAGAGTAACGAAGAGCCTTATTTCTGTACGTGTAAAAACTCACCGTTGGGTTAAAGACCATTTCAACAGAAGCATCTTTCTCATTTTCACCTATTTTGCCTGAGATAATTTTTTGACTGAAATTTGATTTAGTCATAAAAGTTTTGGATTGGAAAAGCTTGTTGTTTTGATATACTACAAAGCCAAATTTTTTAGAAATAGAGTTATCTGTGGGGAGAAAAGAGGACATTAAAATCAACATACAAATCTTGGAGTAAACAGGAAGCAGTTTCATGTCATTATTAAACTGCATTGGTGCCTAATATTTGTGTATAGTGCAGTAAAAATTGTTTACTGGTGAATCTTTACTTAATTGCAATATAATATGTTGGTGTTATAAGATATTATATTATGCATATTTTGTGGACATCTACCAGTACTGCCTCATACCTACACGATAAAAGAAATTTGATTTTCTCTACAAACTTATAAATAAATACACGGGTGGCTTGCAAGAATATAAAAATATAGTAACTGAAATACGGTAGATTAAAGGGAGAACTCAACAGTAAGTCCTTAGAAAGGTAAAGTTAAGCAAAATAAAATATTAGGAAGTAGGTACTTGAAAAGGGATTGAATGTTATCATGGGGAAAAGAGTAGATGGATGAAAAGGAGAAGAGGGAGAAAATGTATTCAAGATTCCAGTATATATACTATAAAATTAAGAAGAGTGAGGGAAGGGGTGAGTAGGAATGTTGAAGGGGTGACAGTGATCAAGATACATTGTATTCATAAACTGCTTTGTTAAATGATAAGAGCTTTGGAGAACTACTTAAAGATATAATGAAAGGAAAAGTAGGTGAAAAAAAGAAAACTCAAAAAAATTAAAGGCATTTTCTGATATACTTGATCAGACAGATAATAAAACTCCCTTTTTCAGAAGAAGTCTTATTCTATAGCTGGAAAGAAAGAATGTTGCACAGAGGCACCAAGAAAGATGAATGTGAACAGACAGGCCTTGCTTCATCTGTTAAGTCCTATTCTTTGTCCAATCACGTTTCTACACAGTTGTCCATGTTTGATCATGTCTGTGCAGTACAGCCTCTAGAAAAGCCCCAAAAGAAAAGGTTAGTCAAGGCCTCAAAGGTACTCCAAGGCTTCAGGCACCTTTGCAACAGCTAACATGGAAATCCCTAAAAGGCAGTGAGCCTCTACCCTCTCGCTCTGCACTTTCGCACACACCTCACAGGTGTATGTAACGCTTCATCTGTATCCTTTGTAGTGTACTTTGTCATAAACCCACAAACTTTTTTCTCAGAGCACTGTGAGGTACTGAAGCAAACTAATTAAAACCCAAGACGAGAGTTATGGGGACCCTGATTACAACTGATTTTACATGCACTCTTCACAATTTTCAAGAACATATGTGTAACTAACTACAGTTGGCATGCTGTACAATCCTGAACTACTTCTTCTTACATGGAATGTTATATTCTTTGTCCTATGTTTTATCAATGAAAGAAGTGACATAGGCCGACACATACATTTACTGTGTCTTGCTATATAGAAAGCTACATGAGCAGGGCATGGTCTTATACACTTGTAATGAGATCACTTGGTGGCAGGGGCAGATGATCCCAAGTTAGAGGCCATCCTGTGACACATTGTCAGGTCAAGGCCAGCCTGAGCTCTCTAGTGAGAAACAGGCCCCCCCCCAAAAAAACAAACAAAAATGTTTATACTCCTAAACATGTTGTACACAACAACTGAAACAATTTTATCTGCAACTTTTTAAAATGTGCTTTCAGTCTAATCTAGACCTGTGCCTCCCAATAATGTTTTTAACCTATTCAACTCTATTGTTTATTTATGGAATAAAAAATAGATTCCTTTTTCTAAACACACAAAACATAAATTCTAGGTGCACCAAAGACTTAAATGTGAATAGAAAGATTAAAACTATTCAGGAATTTACTATGATGACGTCCAGAGAGGGAAAGTTTTCTTTAAGAAAAACACAGAGTACCACTTATACAGGGAAAGAAATGCATTGGAAAAATTGATACATTATAAATTAAAATTTTGGCATAGCTCCAAACATAAAAAACTAAATGAAAACTACAGACCAAAGAAAACATGTTAGCAACTTACTTAATTGTCAAAAAGATTAGTATTCAGAATCAATGATGTTTTCAGTGATCAAGAGGAAAAGAAAAAAGCAATGAACATCTTTGCTTTATGTTGTTTTCTAAGACAGGGTCTCATTACTATGAACTTGTGATCCTTTTACTCCTGCCTCTCAAGTGCCAGCATCATTGGCACACACCACGATGTCTGGCCAATGGTTTCAAAATGTAGAAATCTAAAACAGAACCACTTTAACAGGGTTTACTGTAGAAATAGATCTGTATGCGTTGAACATTTCAATTCTGCTACATTCCAAAGAGGATTAGAAAAGAAAAGGTACAACGTAAAACAGTAGAAATGAGATTTCTGCAATATATCAGATATACTCAAGCCGGATATACTCAAACCATGTTATTAAATGTGAAAATAAGTAGATATTACTTCTCTCTCAGTGGATTTGAAGTTATGAATTCCATAAATTTGGGGGCATTAAAAATGTAGTAAAGTTTGGGACCAACTTTTTCTGGTTTTGAGCAAGATCTGAAGTTCAGTTTGTCCATCTGGATTAAGTGTGTTCACATTTTCTGCAAATATGGAGCCAGAAACTAGAGAATCACTTGATCCTATGGGAAGGAAAAAAATTGGAGTGACATTAATCAAAACAAAGCAAGCATAAAATATTACAGTGAAATCAAGTATGCAATTATAATTACAATAATACAATTACACAATTAATATATGCTGAACAGTCTACATTGTCATGAATAGGACATTATGATTCAGAGCATAATGCTTTTAGCTCTTATAAGCATATGAGGCAAACAGTTCACCTTTCTGTACAGAGAAACGAACGCTTTCAGAATGCTCATGAATTCCAGGATTAAAGGACTGAATTGCTACATTAGGCTCCACCACTGACTCGTTGTTCAAAGTCAAGGAATAATTTTCCATTTGCTCAATAAGCCTGCATACAATGAAACATAACAAGTTAATATTTTAGAGGTTTGGTTGTAAATCCCAAGATGTCTGTTTTCTACCACTTTATAGGGGAAAGGCATGAGCATAGATCTTACACGGTCACAATGACATTGACTTTTGCTCAAAAATACTTTCTCTTCTTCAACATAGTCTTGTTTTAATACATATACAGTCTTCCCACCTTATTGACAGATTTCCTATTTACTATATGCAGTTTTGACTCCACCCTAAGTAGATGCTGGTTATAACTGTGAGAAAACTGGTAAGTACACATAGAAATATCACCTAAGGAAAAATGAATTGTGTAGGCAGTGATTATATATGAGAGTGCTGACTGTTCATATTATTAAAACGCTAAAGCAATGTAAATGTCCTGTAGAGCAAAGATGTGACTGAACAAAAGCTTGCTTATATAAGACAGTAATCTAAGCTTATGATATATTGATATTTATACTTTGTTGTTGTTGGTGGTGGTGGTGGGGCTTGAGCCCAGGGCCTGGGCACTGTCTCTGAGCCTCTTTGTGCTAAAGGCCAGTGCTACCACGTTAGCCACAGAGCCACTTCTGGTCTTTTTGTGAATGGTTAATTGGAGGTAAGAGTCTCACAGGGACTTTTCTGCCCAGGCTGGCTTCAAACTGTGGTCCTAATATTTCAGCCTCTTGAGTAGCTAGGATTACAGGTGTGAGCCATCGTGCCCGAATGATATTTATACTTGTAATTGTTTATAAAGTATCAAGTTACAAAAAAGTTGTAAACATATTAAGTAATTACATACATGTATGAAGTTATGAACATGTACATACACAAAAGATAAAATATCTAGAATATGTACTAACAGGCAAATGAAGGTAGGATAATTTTAAGAACTTTCTCATCATATATTTTATTTTTCTGCAGTGAGCTTTCCACACTTAACTGTGAAAGGAATTTAAAAGCACCAAATCCCAGTGAAAGGTCTCTATGAATAAAACTCCTGAGTTCTAATACAAATACACAACAAAAGTAATCAAAACACAGGAATCAGAGGGAACAAAAAAATTTGATTCTGTTTCTTTGTTTCAATATAAGCAGGGAAAATCTAAACGATACCTAATCAAAACGTACCAGAAACTGGGGAAATGAGAGCCGAGATATGTAATGCAATGATCAAAGAGTTGGAAAAGTCCTTTTGGTGTAGAGGTTGCTCACATGGTCATGCTAAGCAAGGCTAGGGGCATAAGCTCAAATCTAAATCAGCTCAGGCCACGAGTACCCCTAGAATCAAGAGGTAATATATACTATTCCTCCTGTTAACAAGATCAAGGGGAAAGCCAACAACACATAGGCTGTCAGTGTGACTTAAGTAAAAGAGTTCCTGCCTAGCAAGCACAGGCTCTCTTCAAATCCAACTACCAATGCAAAAGAGAAAAAAGTCAAAAGATTCTGTCTGTATTCTAGAGGAACCAGCAAGTTACTGCATTCATGAGAGAAACAGAGTCCCCTTTATATACTTTAGCCTAGGAAAGTAAGTAGCACTTTGCATGTCATCTTGCTAAATTGAAATGTACTTACGTGGTAAAGGCATTATTAGCATCAGCAGTAGCTACTTGAAAAATATCCTCTCTAACATCCAGAAGTTGACTGACTGTGCTTACAGCAAGCCTCTTGGCCTAGGAAGGGAAGGACAGTGGTCATCATAGAAGACACATTTGTTAGCATCATCATGATGAAGTATTATAGTTGGAAGGAGCATCACTAGAATGACGATGCAAGGAAATTTCAAAACCAGTATTTCAGCTTGCTTGCGAGATATGTAAGATGGCAGTGAGAACCAGTAGAGGAAAAAGTGAGAATATACATCAAGCTAGTGAATTAGGAAGGTCAGCTCTCTGAATTGGACCTCATAGTACTGTAATGTTTTCTACAAAACTCCCTCCAATCCCTAAGAATACAAAAACAAATGTTTGAATACAAAAGTGGGACTAAATAAGAAAAGTGCAGGGATAATTGTTAAAATGCTATAGGTAAGGGCTGGGAAGGTGGCTCAGTGGTAGAGCGCTTGCCTTGCATGCATAAAGCCCTGGGTTTGATTCCTTAGCACCATATAAGCAGAAAAAAGTTGGAAGTGGAGCTGTGGCTCAAGTGGTAGAGCACTAGCCTTGAGCTGAAGAGCTGAGGGACAGCGCCCAAGCCTAGAGTTTAGTCCCCGTGACCGAAAAAAAAATGCTACAGGTAGCTATAATTAGCAAAATTTATTGTGTGTATTTATATAACTAGTCAATATGTAGTTTTCTTACATTTCAAAGATCAGGAGTATGGAGAGAAGGTCTTTGGGAATTGATTATATAGTTATCTGTTTTTATTGGCTGTTTTTCTATAAATTCTATATTTGGAGGCCCTAAGTTTCTTCAAATTCTATTTTTACTAGTTTGTGACTTGAATTTTCAAAGGCTCTTGAGTAATATAATTTTTGAAATAAGAAATATAAAGGGAATGAAATAAAAAGACCATGGATCACCATGGGTAGAGGCTGGGTCAGTGCATATTAATGGCTTATCACTCTGCTCTGTCATTGGCAAATCTTGAATATACTGATTGTTTTCAGACATTCTAATTTAGAGGGCTATCAAATTAGAAATGTATAAACTAGGCTTAAGTGTTGGTGAAGCGTAAGGCCAAGCTCCAAAAATACTAAAAACAAAGAGACCAGAGTCTAAGATAAGTGGTAAATTGTATGGAATTCATTGGAACAGAACAGGGTTACTGAAGGGAAATGTAATGGACAACAAAGTAATAAAGTAAAAGAGACTTGCTTATTCTAGGACTTTTTGGAAAATGAACATAAGACTCATGATTATCCCAATACACAAGGACCCCTTTTTCAATTTCTTTGAGCACCCTTCCAAAGAATATGGACTAAAGAAATTTAAACCATACCCAAATCAGGTCGTGGGATAAGGAGTAGAGTTTGAGATCTTTCTTTTACATCTCCTACCCACTTGCTTTATGATTGCAGCTCTGGGAATCAAACCCTGGACTTCACGTATGCTACAGAAAGATGCTGCAGCCATGAGATGCAGTCTTAACTGCCTTTGACCGAACGTCTTGAGTTTTACCTCAGATGTAGCTTTTCTGGATTCATTGAAGATCTGTCCAACCACATTAGAAGCAGAAGTGATGTTCTCAGCAGTTAATTCAGTAGTGTTAGATGTTAAAATCTGTACCTCTATAGAAATATTCTGAGATTTTGTTGCAATATTGTCTATCTGTTAAAAAGAAATGTTTAACTTTACACTACTATTTCTAAACACATCAGAAGCAACTACCAGTGAATAAGTGGAAATTTAGCTGACCTCCGACTCCTGAATAACACAGTTTTTAGTGTTTCTTTCTTTCATTGTATAAAGAATACAGTACTGTGGGCCAACTATTTTCTGTCTTTTTTTTTTTTTTTTGTCTGCCATCATTGATTAAGCATCATTGGTTGTCTCCAAGAGAATAAAACTGTATCAATATATATCCAGGGACAGGGCTACTTTACTGCCATAAATCCCAAGTGGAAATAAGCACAGAAATTCAGAGTAAATACTTACAATTGACATGGCAATTTTATACAGTTAGATACAATAACTTTTTTTTATAACACAGTCTGCACTTCATATGTCATTTTCACTTTTCTAACAAGTTATTTTTACTGCATTCTACAAACTATGAATTAGAATTAGACTTAGCAATGAATTAGAAAAAATGTTATCTAGATTTTCAGTGAGGATGGTCTGGGTTATCTACACTGGTGTAGATAATGTAGATAATATGACAATGTACCGCAGGGTTCTTTGTTGTGAGACCAAAAGATGGGAACCCATGTAGTCATTACTGCAGTGGAGTGTCAAGACTGAATAGAGCTCAGTTATTCACTAGATGGCAGCATTGATTCAAAAAACTCAAACCCATAGTCACATTGAGAACACATCAGAAACAATATGCATGACCTAGAAAGAAATACGCATTGCGTTCAATAATCAGATCTTGGCTATGTGCGAGTCACTTTCTTAATTCTCTTACACCCATTGAAGGCTCAGAGAGGTTTAGAAGCTAACCCAAAGTGCACACCATTTGGAAGAGGCAGTGTTAAGAGTCAAACATCTCTTTGTCAAACTCTAGAATCTGTATTCGGAGGATGGGCAGCCACCGCACATCCTGACTTCTCTCCCTACCACACCGACAACACTGTGACCATCAGTGATTAGGAAGCCTGTAGGATAATGTGGATTTTAAAATTAAGAGCATTGGTCAACTGGGCTGAACAATTTCTTAAGACTGTATTTTTCTATAAGCTGGTGCATTAATACTTCTCTTTGATGTTTAAGATTTTTTTGTTGTTGTTGTTGGTCGTGGGGCTTGAACTCTGACCCTGGGCGCTGTCCCTCAGCTCTTCAGCTCAAGGCGAGCGCTCAACCACTTGAGCCACAGTGCCACTTTCGGTTTTCTGGTGGTTAACTGGAGATAAGAGTCTCACAGACTTTCCTGCTTGGGCTGGCTTTGAACTGTGCTCCTCAGATCTGAGTATCTAGGATTACAGGCATGAGCCTGTAATTAAGAATTAATTATGATTAAAGGCATAGTATGTATGAAGAATTCCATACAGTACAGAAAAGTCCCCAACTTATGGTGGTGCTTTGCTTTACTTTTGCTTTACTTTTTTACTTTTTGCTTTACTTTTGTTTTTCATTATATTGGTGCAAAAGCAATACATATTCTGTATTAATTATTAAATTTGAATTAGTAAATTTTTCCCTGCCCAGACTCATAACACTAGCTTGTTCTGATGGGCCAAATGACATACTTGCTTTTCCAGGCTTTCCAGATTTTCATTGCAATTTCCTCTTGTTACGTTTTGTAATATTATCTCCCCATAAGGAGAAAAAGTACACAAACGGATTGCTAGTGGTTTGCCCGCTTTCACAGAGAGAAAAAAGAGAGGAGAACAGAGTTACATTTTGTAAATTATACCTGCTGTATTAAGCATTATGAAATATTTCAGATAAATGAACATAACAGGCACTCATAAGGTCCTGATCCAGTGCTTTGTGGAGTACATGTAGTAAATAAAAATACAGTTGAAGTCCTCTTTTTATTTTCTGAGATCTTAATCAAAAGGCCAGAAAAATAAGTGTGAAGTAAGGTCATAAATTGTTGAGTAAGCACTTAAAATTAATAAGGAAAAGATGCATACAGGATGGAGCAATTCAAATCATTTATTTATATTCCAATAGCAATAGTACTTATATCACAATAGCATTTAAATCACAATAGTTATGTCACAATAAAATGTGAAATTCTCCTTAGGTTTATTACTGAAAGCAATTCTACCAAATATTTCTGTAAATGATCCAGAACTGGCTGTAAGAACTCTGTAAGAAATGTAAGGTTATCTTCAGCATTGATGAGACAGTAGTTAACACCCAAAAATCACAAGTATAATAATAATGAAAAATAGCAAGATTGTCTTTAGCTAACAGGAAAGAGATGTAAGTTTCTAAAGACTACTCTTAGAAAATACTGTCCATTGTGGTCTTGAAATAAAATAAATTATCAACATCCTGTATATTACTAGGTTATATATATTTTTAATCTTTTCTTCCTTTACCTTGAATAGTTAAATTAATTGTTAGTGTTTGAAACATTCTGGGAATGGTTTATTTTGAAACAAGTTCTCCCTCTGTTTTTGTTTTTGTTTTGTTTTGTTTTGTCAGTTGTGAGGCTTGAACTCTGGGCCTGGGCACTGTCCCTGCGCTCTTCAGCTCAAGGAGAGCTCTCTACCGCTGGAGCCATAGCGCCACTTCATACTGGGAATGGAAACTATTATTTGCACTTTTTTTTCGATCTGACAAAATTAAATGATATTCTAAGATGGATAATCAAAATGACAAAGGAGACAAAGGAATGCTGACAATAAAGAGTCTTAACTAATTCCATCACTGCTTCAAGGTATGGTACGAATATATAATATAGATTAATTTTAGTAATTGAGACAAATTATATAACTCAAATAGCAATTATTCACCTGATCAAATTCCAAAAGATAAAATAAGATGAAAAATAACTAAACCAATTAGGTAATGGCTAGGAGGAATTCACAATCAAATAATCCATTTTAAGTTTCTTTTGAAAAATTAAGATAATGTGACATCATCACAGTCCTTCAGTCAGGCATTGGTACTCAGAAGGCTGAGATCTGAAGATTGGGTTTAAAGCCTGCCTGCGTAGGTAAATCCATAAGACTCTTATCTCCAATTAAGCATCAAAAAGCCAGAAGTGAAGCTGTGGCTTGAGTGGCAGAGTGCTAGCCTTTAGCAAAAAACCTCAAATACGGTGCGCAGGCCCTGAGTTCAAGCTCTAGGACCAGCATATACACTCATACACACATATACACCACCACCACCACCGCAAACCACCCCCCCCCCCCCCCCCCCCCCCCCCACACACAGAGTCTTTCTTCAAGTTTTTCCTTAATACTTATTTCACGGAGTAGTGCTAGTTGGAGTGACAGTAGTGATTCTGATTTTTAAATAGGAGATTTGGGGGCAGCACATACCATTTAGTGTGTTGTAACCACAGGTTTGCACAGATGGCCCGTATCTTCCCACTGGAATTCTGGCAAAATTAAGTTCCTGATATGTACTATTTTCACAGAAATTAACTGCAATGAAGAGAAAAGGGCACTTTTTAATGATATTTTACTGCTCTTTTTCAGAGTCAAAACCAGATAAAAGGTAAAGTTCCAAACCTTCACAATGAAATTTGAAGGCTAATAGAAAGCTTATAGGAAGAATTGGCCTGCTGGAAACTTCTATATTATCCTATATAGTTAAGTTATTGTCATTAAAATAGTCTATCATATAACCAGTTCTAGTTGAAATGGGCATAATCTATGCTCCCATCAGAAAGGACATTGCCCCATGTGTAAGGAAATAGAAAGATTTGGGAAAAATCATATTAAGTGAAGTAAGCCAGAGCCAAAGAACATAGGCTCCATTGTTTCCTCATTTGTAATAATTAGTATATGTCTAGGATAGTCCTAGCAGAGAATCACAATAGCTCAATAGCTATGTGCATATGACCATAGTAAATAATGTTAATTGAAATAAACTCCAAGATTTGAAACGAGAGGCTTTTTTTGTTTCTTTGTTTTTGATTTTTAGTATACTGTGTGAACTTATTTCTTTTTTCTTTCATTTTCCACCTTCAGCTTATCCCCAGTTGCTTCTGTTTTTTATTTTGGTATCCTGTGTCTTGCATATATGTTTATCTGATCTGGGGAAGGGAAGGGGAATAACAAAATGTGAGACAAAGGGCAAAGGGTGAACCAATACAACAGTGAGACTCACAAGACACCATGTTGGAAATGAACTTCACACCTTACAGGGGAGGGGTGCGGGGTGGGGGGAGGAAAGTGAGAGAAAACAAGGGAGGAGGTAACAATGTTCAACAAGAAACATACTCATTACTTTAGGTAATTGTAGCCCCTCTTACATCACTCTTAAAATTAAATTAAATTAAAAACAACCCTCCCCCACTAACTTAACTAATTTAACTCTTCCAGAAAAAGGAAGAAAAGACAAAACTTCATATAAGTATACACTTAGGAAGATCCACCTTAAGTTACAGACATTACACTGGGACATTTTAAGCCCGATAATATGGCATGTCAAAATGGGAAAGAGCCTACGGGAAGCATATTACTCATTGCCCGGGATTAGACATTGAAACCAGCAGGAAATACACTTGTAAACTCTATCGAGGAAAATACTTTGCAGGAACGAAGTGTCTTGATTATATAGAGCCCCAGACTAAAACCTGGCTGTCGCTATGGAGATAATCAACACATGTTAATGGTATCATCATTGGGTACAGTGTGTGGAAGATCATTAACCGAAACTTCCAGAAGTCTCGCTACTACTCTTATTAACAGAAAGATTACCTAGACCTAACCCTAGTACTACCTCAAGTAACTCACCAATTGTACATCTCAGCCCTCTCCACTCTTCTGTACAAATACATCTTCCATTTTCCCAGGTTCCGCCATTCCTACAGAACTGCGTGGTGGTGCTTGTTGGGGGAGAAAATGTACCTGAGGAAAGAATAAATGACAGAATACCATGAGAAATGTCGAACGCCTTCCTTGTTTTATGTCTGTGGCCATTTTTTTGTTTTGTATGTAAAATACTTTGAGTATCATTGCTAAGAAATATCCTTTGTACTAGTATCATCAACAAAAAAGAGAATCAACAAATATTTACAATGCTTACTAGGTGTTGTGGATACTAAAAAGATACAGTTGAAAGACACAAACCTTGACTAAGGAGATTAGGATCCTTTAAGGCAGAAGAAATTTTATGGACAATACTGTAAATAGGTTATAGAGAGCTATAGATTATTTTGAGAAAAACCAAATACAGTTGGATGATGTTAATGGGCATGATATAAAGGGCAAAATCACAAAAGCATGGAGAGTTCTGATGTGTCCAAGAAAAGCATTTAGCATTGTTTCTATGTGAAACAGCGGCTACACAAAGACCAGCCAAGTAGGTTTATGACTGAAGGAAAATACAGGGTTCTTAAAGTAATGGAAGGAATGTCTTCTAGGATGATTCCTTGGGCTGTATGGGAAGTGGATAAAGCAAAAAGACAAGAAAGGTCAGTTAAATGAAGATCTAAACTGAAGTATTGGCTCTAGGAAAGATGGGTGTCATTAGATTCAGGAAACATGCAAGACATGATTGTAAGGATATAACGACTAGCTAATAATGAGTCAAGCACACTGGGCTGTCTAAGTTGCTGAGTGGATGATAAAGATATTAAATAAGCTTAATAATACAGGAGGTAGAGTTCTCATTCTAGCTCTAACAATGTTGGACATTTTGGGGGAGGTGGTATTAGAGTTTGAACTTATGGCATCACATGCTGGAAGGAATCTACCACCTGAGCCCTGCCCCACACAGCTTTTTGTTTTATTTTTCAGATAGGATCTCTCACTTTTGCCCACAGCCAATCTTGGGTGATGGTTCTCCTTCCTTGACTTCCAAAGCAGCAGATAACAATTTTAAACTCTGAACAAAAAAATAAAACCTACTTTGAAGGTATTAGACAGCTATGAATAACAGACAGAAATTAAAATATATTCAACATGTACTAAATCTTTCCATTAGCAGCTCTACCCAAGGTATGTGACAAAAGTTCCTGAAACTTAGTCAGACATCAGTGGCTCACACCTGTAATCCTTGCGACTCAGAAGGCTGAGTCTTGAGGATGGTGGTTCAAAGCCAGCCTGGGAAAGTGAGACTCTGATCTCCAATTAACTATCAAAAATCTAAAGTGGAGCTATGGCTCAAGTGGTAGAGTGCTAGCCTTGAACAAACAAAGCTCATGTCTCAGGTCCTGAGTTTAAGTTCCAGGACTGAAGGGGGAAAAAGTTGCTGAAATAAGTTTTAACTGATTTAAGTATGAGAAAAGGCTATTTCAGATTCCAGAGGAACTGGAATTTAAAGAGATATCTCAGAGTGGAAACAAGGAAAAAAAGCACCAAAGTCTGGATAGAAACTACAAACTTCTTCAATTATGGAGAGAAATAAAGTTCTCTTAAAAAGAGCTTTAAGAACATCTGGAGGGTTGGGAAGGTGGCTCAGTGGTAGAGTGCTTGCCTTGCATGCATGAGGCCCTGGGTTCGAGTCTTCAGCACCACATAAGCAAAAAGAAAAAAGCCGGAAGTGGCGCTGTGGCTCAAGTGGTAGAGCGCTAGCCTTGAGCTGAAGAGCTGAGGGACAGCGCCCAGGCCCAGAGTTCAGGCCCTACCACCGGACCCCCTCCCAAAAAAAAAGAACATCTGGAGCAGGAAGCCAGTGGCTCACACCTATAATTCTAGCTACTCAGGAGGCTGAGATCTGAGGATTGGAATTCCAAGCCAGTCCAGGCAGGGAAGTAAAGTCCCCAGGAGACTCTTATCTCCAGTTAACCACTCATACACTGGAAACGATGTTGAGGCTCAAATGGTAAGAGTGCTAACCCTTGCATACAAAGAAGCCCAGGGACAGCACTCAGGCCCTTAGTTCAAGTTCCATAGCCAAAAAATAAATAAATAAAATAAAGAAATGAAATGAAATCAAACTATCCTTTGTTGCAAGTAATCAAATCATTGAAAATTTCAGGTTATCTCTGATACAGCTACTAGAATTAATAAATAAATCTAACAATATTAAAATTATATCATCTTTGTTACACATTAGCAATAATTGAAAAATGCAATTATGGAATGATTTTTATTTAAATTAGCATCAAAAATAGTAAAACCCAGTAATCAATTAACCAAATATGATCAGCACCTCATTATTAAGAAAAATTTGGAAATATCTAATAAATGAAATATATATGCCTATATGGATAAAAGGCACAAGTTAAGATTCTTTTCTCCTCAAATAAATGTATTTAAAGTGCTCCATTTGTCATAATATGAATATACAAAATCATTGTTTCTTGTTATTTTCTTTGCAGATTTCTGAACCCTTGTTTTCTGTATGATCTATTCAGTTCTCAAGAAGGATATCAATCTGTACATGTATTTGTATTATTTTGTCCAGTATTACTTCATAAATTTTGAACCTGTATCAACTGATGCTTACAGGTAAAGAAGCATGGATTTTTCATACTGGATTGTTCCTTCTATCACAGAATAATAAGCTCTTGTTCTTCATAATACTTTTTGCCTTTAAGTCTGATTTCTGATATAAATATTACAAACTCAGTTTGCCTTTGACTACCATTTATCTAGAATTGACTTTTATCATCTTTTTCTTATCACATAAAATGCCATTAATTATATAATACTTCATGGAAATAGTATGGTTTGGTTTTAATGACATCCAACATAGTACTTTTTACTTTTATTTTTTTTTTTAATTTTATTTTATTTGTGAACATGCTGTACAGAGGAGTTACAATTACATGGGCAGGATAATGCGTACATTTCTTACCAAGCATTGCAGCCTCCCCCTTTGTTTACCCTTCACATCCCTTCC